GAAGAGGGGATTACGTGTTTAGTACTGTGTCCAAGCACTTTTGACTCCCCAGAGTTGGTGTGATTGACGTGTACTGTGCTGCGACCTGCTTCAAGATGCAGGTCCAGCACAGTTCTGTTGGACTCAGCTCAGTGTGCAGAGTGTGGTCGTGCTGCCTTCATTAAAAATTGCTGTTACATTATTAACAAATCTATAAGGAATGTGGGAGGACAATTTGTCACTGCTTCTAAAAAACCGCCCAAATACATCCACAAAAAAATACATCAACCTCATTGTGCTCGGCAAGACTGCCTTTCAAAGCATGTTGATGCATGAAAGAGAGAGTGAGTGTGAAAGAGAGGAGCTGAGGCTGAGAAAAACTGAGGTGTATTCAAGTCCATAATGTAAAGCACAGTGCGAACACAAACACGATACAAAGTGAACGTGTCTGATGTGTCCGCTGTAAGTCTGAGAAACTGTGTCTGTCACCCTCTAGCTTACAGCACTGAAGACCAGTTGTTGTGGAGGCCAGAGGTTCTGCCAGTGCATGAAGTGGAGGAGTTCTTGCTGAATGCACAAAGACCCCGTGGCCAGGAGGAGGCAGTAGGAACCGAGGAGGTCATTGTCCAAGACAATGAACAGGTACATCTCAGCAAACACTGCTGGCTACTTTTGTTTGTTTAAGCTAGTCTGTAGTAACACGTAAGCGCCCCTCTTCAGTAACGAAGTACTCTTCCTTCATGGCAATGTCGCAACTGCCCCCCACACAAAGGCGAATGACTCATCTTAACCAAGTTTTTAGCTGTGGTAAAATATAATAAATGTGCCTTCTGTACACGCTGAAAGAAACAAACAGCTGGATAAAAAGAAGTCCATGTATTATTAGATCTGTGTACTTGAAGATTTTACTTTTGTCTTGTTATTCAGATGTCTGGATTACTAACCTCATCCCAATCTCCTTAAGACGTTTCAGAAGACTTCTTCTACTTGTCTCGTTTAGTCTGCATTACCTGAACTCATAGTGGACCATGGCTAAACATGGTCAGCCTTTATGTCCATAATCAAGAGTTCTTGTTTTCTTTAACTTGCCTTAAACCGAGAGGTAAGTCTTCACCGAGTGACAGTTTTTGTGTTTCCTCTAAACCTTCAGGCACTGTACGAGTTAGTGAAATGCAACTTTAACGTCGAAGAAGCACTGAGGCGATTTCGTTTCAACGTGAAAGTATTCAGTGGTAAGAACTATCCTGTTGTCCTTCTTTCCCCAACTGGGCATTTTACACCTTTGTGAACAACCCAGAATAAGTTTGTAATAATGATTGATAGTATGTAAATTTAAAGTCATCAGAAAATCGTTGCATTCATATGTCACAGGTTTTTGCAGTTCCAGTATTTTATACAATTTTTTAATCCATTAGCAAGGGCAAAACTTCCCAGACATGAAACTGTGGCCTATTTTCAACCGTTGACCCTAGTTCGGCATTTATACCCACAACACACAAGATTTGATCATATTTAGTTACATAAAACCATTACCATACTATACAACATAGATACAAGTCAATAAATAGACATAACTGGGAAAAACATAAATGTAATGAAATGCACATAAAACGATACAAAAATTAACAAATTATTCTTATTTGCCATTAACCAAAATTTGACTTTTAATAAGATTCAATATCTATAATTAATTTGATTTCAGGAGGCCTGACAGGACATGCTTCCTGAATAGGTGACAGGTCATTATGGAGAATGCCGATTGTCCAAATTTGTCCAACATGGTCCTAGTGACTGCTGTCACCGTCTTATGCATCTCGATGTATGCGGCCAGTCTGCATTTAAAAACTTTAACACAAAAGATATGAATGAAACCATCAAAACTAAGTGGACTGTATTTTTTTAAATTCATTATTTAGAGTCTGTTTATATAAAGATACAAGGTGCTTAGTTGTAGATGGTGATACTTTGTCATGGTTGGCTGTGTGGCAGGCAGGCAAGCAGGAGTGGTGGATCCAAAATGCAGGACTCAGACACAGAAGTATAACTTAAAGCGCAGCTTTATTGCTGGGAAAAACCTCTTACTAAACTAAACTCACCAAAAGACAAACAAAAACGCTGGTGGACTAAAACACTGCAGCAGAAATACTGAGCTG